CACACACACACACACACACACATACATACACACAATACATATATACTACCCAAGAATATGCCCTTAAATTTTCATCTTGTGACCTGCTGGAACGCCCATCTCAGTGGGAATCCCACGCCCTCCTTTATGGTTATGGCTTCTATGTAAAACTGGCTGATTGAATGAAATCTCTTTACCATTTAGAGAGAATACGCTTACACAGTGATTGACATTTACTGAAGTAGCTCTTCACTTCTATTGCGCGTAAAAATGCTGTTTCGGATATTCGACGAGGATGCTGATTAGCGACAATTAGATTTTGCTGATAAGTGTTTCGATTACAGCCTCTACCTACACGTTACACGTTGAACGAATTTCAAGGAACGTACGTTTATGAATGGCGTAGCAGTTGATACGAGTTATTTCTCCTGTTTTTGTTTTCCCTTCTCTCTTTCTTTTCTCTTTTTCTCTTAATTTTCATCTTGAAACGAAGTAATTTTCTATCGTCGATCGTGTATTGTATTACCCGATTTGGGACTGTTGTTTTCCGTTGTACGCAGGCTGTTTTCCAACGTGACATGTAAATTGTCTAGAACCAGACTAGAATTTTCAGGCACGTTCATCAAGTATCATTGAATCGATGTGAAAGGAATATTAAACAAACGACAGAGAGCATTGATACAATTCTCGTTAATTTTCTGACGGACAAGTTATCATTGGAACGCGTATACGTATATAAAACAAATTTGAACATTTTAAATTGCGTCCATATTGTAAAACAGCCTGCGTGTATATACAGTTCTCTTTAGAGTTGAATTATATCACGTAATCTCTTTCCTGGAGAAATTTCGACGCTAGATAACTATTTTGATTGTATCATTTTCGTAGCTATCTTAGCTGTCCTGAATCAATCAGTTTGTTTCACTCACTGAGACCATTCGACGAATGTATTAAATTTACCAAGAAGCTCGATTCACTTTTCCAACAAAGTCGATTTATTTTTATTTTCAATTGGTAGAAATGAAGATCGTAATCTATGGTTTGCAGATTGATCCGTATACGACGAATCAAGTACGAGCTTAATGAACTGAAACACGTTTGAGTTTATTATTAATTATTATTAATTTTCTCCATGCCGATGAGACAAAAAGCCTCGAACTCTACAGAGAATTGATTAGTGGTTTAACGTAACAAGAAGCAGAAGCAATTCTTTTGCAGGATACACGATTTTTTTTTCAAGTGATTCTGTGAAGTGACGAGTTTCGCTCGGCTGTTCGACTAATCGAGCTTTTGCATTTCCAGTGAATTGCTCAATATTCGGCCGGAAAAAGAAGCAGTACAAGGATAAGTATCTCGCGAAACACAACGCAGTCTTTGACCAGCTGGATCTGGTCACCTACGAAGAGGTCGTTAAACTTCCCTGTAAGTATCCTCCGTGATCTATTTCTTCTTGTTCTATTTCTGAGGATTACAATTTCCTCGAAGATCAATAAATCTCAGTGACGAAATGACAGAGCTTGATATTTTTAATGATTCAGTCACGACAGTTCGCAAGCGAAGATTAATTATGGAGTTTAAAATGTATCGAGATAACAAGTAGAGAATAATTTGGAGAACGTACGCGTAATAATTTAAATTATTAATTCCAAGGTTTCTACTTATCCTTTAAGGAAAAAAGTGAACTTTGTTTTTGAAATATCTAAAGTATTTTTCGAAATATCTCTCGCGAATATTTATGCAACAATCTCTTTACAGATTCTGTATTCCAACGGAAAACGTTAGTGTTACTGGGAGCGCATGGCGTTGGTCGTCGTCAGATAAAAAATACCATTATTGCGAAGCACCCTGATAAATACGCCTATCCTATTCCACGTAAGTTCAAATTTACATTACTGAAATTTCCACGTACTCCACCGTGAATGCCGAACATCTTTACGACGTTATTGAAATTCTGTTCACGTTGGTCGTGCACGAAACTTCGAGGACAAATGCAAACGAACATTATAGAAAAAAGATCAAATTAGCGAACGTCGATCAAAGAAGGGGTGTAGCCGAATTGAAGCCGAAATTGTTTGACTTTTCAGATACAACGAGGCCTCCACGGAACGACGAAGAAAACGGTCGCAATTATTATTTCATATCGCACGATGAAATGATGGCCGACATCGCTGCCAATGAATACCTCGAATATGGTAAATAACTAGATCCAAGATTATAGAACCAAGCTCAAGCCAGTATCTCACGATAGACGATAATTCGTCTGGACTAACTTCAATCGTTTTGTACAGGTACACACGAGAATGCCATGTACGGAACGAAACTCGAAACGATCCGGAAAATACACGAAGAAGGCAAAGTGGCGATATTGGACGTCGAGCCTCAAGCCTTGAAGGTGTTACGTACGGCGGAGTTCGCGCCTTACGTGGTTTTCATCGCTGCCCCGGTGTTCCCAAACATGCCCGATGTAAGTAGAGTGTATCGATCGGTTAAAATCTTCCCGTGGGGAATCGAACTAACTACCTGACATCGGGTTAACTATCAAGTAATTGAACAATTAATCAACCGTCGACCGGATTATGAAACTTCAACGCTTACGTTTAACTCAATTTACCACGATCAGGTCAGATATTATCAAGGATTGCTGGATAGTTTGGTAAATAATATTCAGAGTAATGGAAAGAAAGTCCACACACTTAGAAATATAATCAAGAGTGAAATGTAATGAATTGAAACAGATTGGAATAGGCAGTTAAATATATAAAGATACGAGTTTCTTTGAGGCGATTAAGGGAATTTTCAATCGACGTTTCAGTGCGACGGAAGCCTGGAAAGACTGGCGAAAGAGTCGGACTCGTTGAAGCAAGCGTACGGCCACTTCTTCGACCTGACCATCGTGAACAACGAGATCGACGAGACGATCGCACAATTAGAGGCAGCCATCGAGCGGGTTCATACGACACCGCAATGGGTACCTGTGTCCTGGGTCTACTGACAGCGAACCTCGCCAATTCGTCAGATCACTAACTGCAATGGCTCGTCGAACGTGAAACAGTGATCATCGAATCGCGATCCACCGAACGACCGGTCCGTTTACGATCGTTTAAACTGCGGCCAACGATAAATATATTTCTCAACGTCGCGGCGCCTGTGAGAATTCGCGATGTTCGCGAGGGATTATCCAGATGATGATGAATCGTGAATAGCGGATTCGTGAGCGAGACAAGCCGCGTAACAAACAGGTCGGACCAATCGAACGAACGAATTTACCGTCAATTCTTCGATCGATCCACACAACACGATATCGACTGGAATGCGTGACTTTGGCCGTGTGTTCATCGACTTTTTTCATTACTATTGAATTAACTCTGTAATTAATTATTGAATCGTCGTTATCGTTACACGACGCGGGTAGAGACGGAGAGACGAAACTGTCGATCGACGTTATCCCGAGGCGTAGAATACGACAATCAAAAATAAAAAGAGAGAGAATAACATACGTTTCGATTTTCGACACATAAGTTTCATAGGACTGTAATTATTGCTTCCACGATGTAATAAACATAAGCAATACGATTTCTCGCGTTTTCTCGATGTATCGTCTCGGTTAATGGATCAATTCAACGAGTCGTCGCGCAAACGAAACGATATTAATTTTCTCGTGCGATTATTTCCATCGTGCAGT